CTGCAAAGTATTGTTCTTCTTTCACTGCAGTAAATAGTAATAAAATAATAATAATAATAATAATAATAATAATAAGTAACCTCCTAGATTTTTTTAATATCTGCAGTTGCAGTCCCATTGGGAATGTGTGAGCACAGAAATATTCCACCCATTTTAATGTTACAGAACCATTAAAGAGGTTGACAGAGTTTAGGAACCTTCCTCATGGCCTTTGAGATGGGCCCAGATTTCCAATTTTCTCCACCTTATTATTAAATGAAGTCCTAATCTAAATGCATCCATCTGAGCTCCTTTTTCTTTTTTCCTCTCTAACAACCTGAATCTGGCACACTTCCTTCCCCTTTAACCCTCACAAGCTAAAAATAATACCCTTTTGGAGAGGGTCAAAAAGTGTCAGTTGGAGGAGTTTAATTAGCTGGAGTGGGCAGTAGACAGTTCTAGCCTTCCCAATTTGCTACAAATTCTCCCAGGATCTGGAGCCAAGCACAATTGGAAAATTCAGGTTTGTGGGCACCAGAGTTGGGATTTTCTGATTTACAGGAAGAGTCTGCCTGGAAACAAAGCTGTTTTCCACCTCTGGTAACAGGCAGGGTCATGAGGAGCTGTGGACATAAGGTGTAGGGGTTCAGAGCATGGACTGCTGGACTAGATCTTTGAAGTTTGCTTCCTGTATTTCCATTTACTAGCTCTGTGACCTTAGGTGAGTTGTATAACCTCCTAGGCCTTGCCATCCTCATCTGTAAAATGAGGATAATCATAGCACTCACCTAATAAAATTGTCCTGAGGAAAAATGAATCAAGTTGAACACTTAGAACACAGCCCAGTACAGAGAAAGTCTAATGTGGGATGTTCACTAACAACATCATTTGTTTTTCTTTCTTTTACTTTAGAGAGCCTAGACCCATCCTGCTCATCAGCATTAGCTTCTTCATCCTTTTATGGATAGCACATAGAATAAAATAGTCCAGTATGAAGAGAAAGGTTTAAATAATGTAATAATTGAGATTCACATAGAAAACAGGATTTTACCTAATTTACATGTGTCTTGTTAATTATTTTTAATGAAATTTGGCATATCTCCAGGACTATAAATAATTAGGCCTGGACAGCTCTTAGAGGCTCTTTATTAGCGATGGTGAACATATTTCAGAGCTTTCAATGATAACAGATAGCCAGCAGCAGCACATAGGCCATAGGCTCCCCACCACAGCTAGGTAATCCTCTACAGTGCAGAATCTCTGGCGGGAAATACTATGATAATACTGAGTCCAGATTACCAAAAATCTTATCGAGATTTTTAAAATAATATCCCTGATCTAACCCTTGGTTGCCTACTAGTGAGATATGCTAAGATCTTATGGCTATGGGAAGATATTCAAAATCTGTCAGTAGTTGTCAAAGGTGACATTATAAGAACAGACTGGATGCAGGGCTGAACTCTAAAGGGTAACAAGGACAACCCAACCATTCTTCCTGTTGCAGAGTAATGTACAGCTATTGAGTATAGTATCATGATGCACAGGGCCTGAGGGAATCAGGAGTACCATTCTGGAGCAGGATTTAGGATCATAGCTGGGGTTCCAGAGACCCAAGTTCCAGAGACCGCTATCTGCTTGAAGTGGGAATAAAGGTAGAAACTGGTAAGAAGAAAGTTCAAGCTCTGGTTCATGTGGAGACCTCCTGGAAAAGCCAGATAGGAGTCAGAGTTCTTCCAAGACAATGAGATTGAGACAAATCTCCAATCTGAGCATGTTTGAGGTACTGAGATGGTTCCCACAAGTCCTTGTCAGGTAATCTGAGGATAATCTGTGGGTCCACAGCCTTGGGGAATCTGAGGTCACACTTGAAAAATGCTAGCCTGTGTCTAAGCACCAACTGGGTCCCAGATTCACCAATAAGTGAGTTTACTGAAAGGTCTTGTAGTTATGGCGCTACAATCTTATCAATATCCTTCCTCCTCCCATAGCAGCAGGCAACTGTTAAGGAAAATTATCTATATATTAAAGTGAGTAAATTGGGATTTAAAGCTCTAGCTCTAAGATGCCATGTTGCTTTTATTGTTCAGAATAATATATGGTCCATGATAGTGAACTCATTGCATTCTTTTGAAAACCCAGCTCTTTAGTAAGTCTGTCTCTTATTTGAATCTAGACCTTTCTATGTATGACTTCTTCACTAAATTCTGAGTCTTTTTTCCTTGAGGTTAACATTGAAATTTTGTCTATTTATTCATGACATATCATTATTTGTTTTCCCCCCTATTTCCTCTCCCCTTTAACTTTTCTTTTTCATTCTTCTATTCCAAAATCTCTGATTTAAAACAATCCCATGTGTTATTGCTGCCGACTGCATGGGTTAGCTACGTAGTTCTGATTTTAGGGATAGGCTCAGCTGACACCAGGTGGGTCTTGCTCATGTATCTGAGGTCAGCCACGAGGTTGGCTGGGAGTTTACTGTCTAGGATGGCTTTGATCTTGGCCTTTCTGTTGTTGGACACCTGCCGTTACCCAAGTCTTGGTCACAGATGTCCAAAAATGACATTAGAAGTTCACACCCTCTTAAGGTATAGGCACAGATTGGTATACACCATTACCTCTGCTGTATTCTTGAAGGAAATGAAATTACAAGGCCAATTTGGATTAAAGGCCCAAGGAAATAGCCCTTATCTTTTGATAGGGGAGTAGCAAAATCGCTTTTCAAGAGACAAGGATAAGCTATTTTTCAAACAATCTACCACCTTTTTTTCTTCTCTTAATAAGCTATGAATAATTCCAGCAAAATAAGAACACTGAGTTGGACACTAAGGTGTTAATGTTAGGGAAAAAGCACAAGTTCCTTGTCCTCCTACACATTACATTCTAATGGGGAAGAGAAAGTGGAATGAAATGGATGTCCATGTACAAAAATACATAGTGCCCTTAAGAAGTATGAAGTGTTATGAGATTTTAAACAAGGGAAATTGACATAGTTGTGGGAAATGTGAAGTACAGAGGAGGGTTCCCTGGAGAGCTAACCACTGGGGTGAAATCTGAAAGTTGGAAGACAAGGGAAAGCTAGGTATGGAGCTTTAGGCAAAGGAAGAGGATATGTAAGCACCAAGACCAAGTGCAGCCATCACTCAGAAAGCAAAAAGCAGTGTTGTCACCTGTGACCAGACCTTGGAGCCAAGGCAAGAATTTTGCTTATTATGCTGAAGATCAAAGGAAATCACTGACTGGCTTAAGTGGGGTGGGTTGGTGATGAGAGAGTGACAAGGTGGTTATTAACTATTATGCCTATAAAGCTAGAACAGAAAGGGATGGAAAAGAAGCACATTTGAGTTTGAACAGTTGCAGGAGAATGATGATAATTTTTTGGAACTTATAAAATATTATTGAGCCCTGGACAATGGACTAGAGATTGCATATTACAAGAATTTGAGTCCTTAACTCAGAAGAAATGCTCTGGACATCTCTCCACACCTATGTTATCATTTACCACTTAAAATACATGACTGCAGTTGATTTCATAATATCTTCTTAACAAATTTGAAGTCTATAATTAAAAGCAGAGAATCCCAAGTCAGACTGTCTAGGTTCTCCTTGGGTATAGATAACACAATCTGTGTGATCTTAAGTACGTTAGTTACTATTTCCAAAGTCTCTTCACCCACAGCGTGATACAACCATATTAGCCACACTGTAGACTTGTTATGAGGACAATTTATACATGTGAATCAGTTTAGGAGTATCTAACCCATAATAACTTTGTTATTATTGTCATTAATATTACTATCATCATTTTTATATTATTTTTGTGTTTCCTTTGTCCATTTTCAGTTTGAAGTTATCTGTCTTATTAAAATGACTTTAGAAAGAAAGCCTCTCCATATTTTTGGAAAGCTTTTTCTATGACTAGAACAGATTATACAGTATATAAATTAGCTAGTTTTTAAAGAATAGTTTAAAAATATTTGGTGTTATTAAAATCATCTGAAATTCATATTTCTTAAGTTCATATATCCTCTCAAGATTACTGCAATAAAGTTTTCATGTGTCTAAAGTTTCAACCGTATTTGTTTTTCATCTCTTGGATATTTAGTGTGTTTTTTGTACCTTAATTTTGTTTTATTTCATCAATCTTGACAAATCTTTGTTTATTTTGTTGATCATTTAAAATAATTAGCTGTAAGTCCTAATGATTTTATTTTGTTTTGTTTTCTATTTCATTAACTTATGATCTTCATTTCCAGCTTTCCATTTTCTTTAGTTTCTATTTAATCTGTAGTTTATTGCATTGAATATTTAGCTTAATACTTTTCCATCTTTCTAATATTTGTGTTCAAAGCTCCCTGTTTCCATCTAACACTGCTCCAGCTACTTTTCAAAGACTTCATTTGCACTACTGTCATTGTCATTCAAGTCTAACTACATCATAATTTTCATTTTGATTTTCCTGACACTTTTAGGTAAACTTTTAAAAAGTTAAAACTTTATGGAAAATATATATTATTTTAGTTGTTATTTTAACATTTATTTCTCATTTAATTATATTGTTGTCAGACTATTTTGGTATTTCTTATGAAATTTTTTGCATCTGTCTCATGATTTGGAAAGTAATTTCCATTTTCTACCTTACCAATTTTCTCTTCAGCTGCATTTAACCTCCTCCCTAATTCACTCATTCATGTTTTTGAACCTCTAAATGAATGATTGATTCTTCATATCCAAATATTCTGATTGGTTCTTTTTCAAACTGAAATACCCCTTTTCGTAGAGTTCTGTTATTTTAATTATATCTAATACTTTTATTCATCTTTCACAATTAAATATTTTCATATAGTTCTATTATTGTGATTTTTTTTCTGAGTCACCTGGACCATTGGATCTCATAGATTTCCTTACTGGTTTCTTCTTTTTGGCAATTGTGTTCATCTTCAGCAAGGATTAAACATTCTGTGAAGTTCTGCCTTCCAAAGAGGTTGTGACCTCATAATTACAAGATTGTATATAATGAGAGTCTCTGATGGAAAGTTCAGTAGTTTAAGTGATTTGAACCAGTTTTTAGGTTAATTTCTGGGTTTACTATCAATGCATCATTCAGTTTATTTAAATTTGGACCACATATCTAACAGTGGTTTAGGACTTGAGTTTTTCTTTTTGCCAGTAATTTTCTCTCTTTTGATTCAAAGCTGAAGACATGAGATACATTGCTTTATGGATAATAGCTACTTTTTCTAACCCATGAGGATAAAATGAAATCTGAATTCCAACTGCTCCCCACCATGTTGTTTTTAAATGAGCATTACAGTTTTAGCACTGGGCTTATAGGATTCTATGCCTTCTCTAACACCTGAGGGTTGGCACTGAATTACTTTTAGATTATTGTCCTTGTACTGATGTTATTTCTCCTTTCTATGGAGATCTCTTGTCTTATTGTGATTTATTTAATATTTTCCATTTTATCCAGAATTTTTAGGTACTTAAAATACAAAGTTCATCAGTTCAGTATTCATGATGCAAAACGTTGGCCTCAGAGTTTTCTGTAGTAACATTTAGTAAAAGAAAACAAAAGAATATTGTCAACATAGCTCTAAAGTAAATAAGGTAAGTCCATTGTGCTGGATTTGTGTGGTTTTCCAAAACCTGATGGCTAAAATGTTATGAATATTATAGCAAGGTAAGCAGAGTCATTATTTAATCTTAAATTGTATAAAATTATAATTAAATAAAATTTTAAAAACAGATGCAAAAGTACTAGACTCCTTACTTTTTAATTATTTTACTACATTTTGTTGTTATCTGTGATCTTGGAGACATTAGTATCTATCATATCTCTATAGTTGAGATGCTATGTATAGGCAATGTTATTTTCAGTGTCTCTCCCCAAATCTGCAATCACTGACAGCATGTTGATAGATTTAAATCAGTTATGGTAGGATTATTTATTTCAGGGAAAGTGATCATTTTAGTCTTCCACAGAACCTGTTGTTAACCACTTAATAACATATTACTGGACAGAAAAATATTGCAGTTAATGTATACAAGCAATATACAGTTTATACATTCACAAATATGAAAGAACTCATATTAAAGTACCCATTTGTTCCACTTGGAAAAATATCAGTGACAAAAATCAAGGCAATAACAGGACAAACATGAATTCAAACAACAAATAGAAAATGAGAAATAAAATAAGAGGAGGTAAGGAATAAATGAATTTAAGCTTAGAACTAAGACAAAATAATTATAAATTTTAGCATTGCAGTACACAATTTAATGTTACAAACTTTAGTTTTTTGGTTTTTTTTGAGGGGGTACCAGAGATTGAACTAGGGACCTTACACTTGCGAGGCAGGTGGCAGAGCCACTGAGGTAAATCCCCAGCCCACAAACTTTGGTATTATTCAAAGAATAATATATCTACAAAAATAAATTGGAAAAATAAGGTGTCAAGAAGTATAGTAGTGTGAATTTCATCTTTTAGAAGAAAAATAAAATTAATATTGTTAAGTAAAAATTTGGTTTAAAACTTAGTACCTGACGAAAAATTTGGAGCAAGCATGCTTAATGATAATATATTAAAAGTTTCACAGCTGAGAGTAATATAATGACAATGATACCTGCTTTCCGACTATTTAACATTGATAATGTAGATTCTACCAAGTGTGGCCAGGTGAGATGAGGATTTAAATGGAAGAATTAAAACTATTTGTTGTGTGACACCATTACTGGTGCTACTGAGCTGATTAATTTCTACATCTTTTCAGTGGACAGAACTCATATATTCTAACATTACATTATTTATAAAACAAATTTCATTTTAATTTTATAAAGTTAATAATTTATTATATATAAACAGCAGCCATTTATTATGCTCACTGTTGCTGTGGATGACAGATTTGGACAGGAAACATTAGGGGTAGCTTGGCTCTGGTCTTCATTCCTAGGTCTGGGGTTGGGTAACCTGAAGGCTTGCTCACTCACATGTCTGATCTTTGTTGGTAGCCATCACTGGGATCCACTGGAACTGGCCAGGCTTCTTTATGTAGCTTGAGCTTCCTCACAATATGGTGAATGAGTACCATAAGAGAAACCAGACAGAGGCTACATTACCACTTATGTCATAATTTTGTAAGTTAAAATGCTTCGTGGATTTGCAGTGATTATTGATCATTTAAATCACTATCTGATTTTATGTGAGATTCAGGTAAATTAAATAATTATGTCACTGTTACCACCAGATATTCAGGATTGTATGGCTTGTGTGACTCTTTAGGTTGGTTCTATATTTATTCCATATCAATAATCCAGTTCTAAAAAGATAGGGATGATAGAATCAGACTACTCCATTTTAACTCATTAACTTTATTCACATGATGCATATAATAGTCTGGTATTACTTTACCAATATGATAATTGCAACTATTAAATAAGTTTAATAAGAATAAGTCCATTCTTTCCTTATTTCTGAAAAATAATGGTATTTTGTCTACGTTGTCAGCATCTATAACCATTATATACTATGGACTCTTTAACTCTCTAAAACTCTAGGTGAAAATTAATGCTCATTATCAATCTTATTTCAATGTCTTTATGATAGCTTTACTTTTCTGAGCTTTCTTTTCTAGTAGGTTCTTCGGAACAAGTGCACGGGAACAGCAATCACTGGTTTCTTGAATATGATAAAAATTTGCCTGTTACCTTTGTATACAAGTCAGTTTGGATGGACAGCAAGTCCTTGGCTCACTTTTATTTTTCCCTAAGTATCTTAAATATTTTAACTTAAATGTTATTCCATATCTTTGTTTCTAGTGTGAAATATTGCAAGTGAAAAGTCTGATAGAAGTCTAATATTCTTTAAGTGTTTTGTATTTCTGCCAAAATGCTACAAAGATTGCTTATTTTTTCTTTCAAGTCTAGTAATTTTATTAGAATATGTTCCAGTGTGCTTCTTTTGGATCAATTTCTCAGGTAGGTGCTGTGCCTATTCAATTTGCAGTTCTAATTTTTTACAGTGGACACTTGACCTACAAACTTGATTCATTCCCGAGGGCTGGTTGTAACTCAAGTTGGTCAATAAAGGCTTAGACTCCTCTACACAGCCTTCAAAGTTTCTCTCCTGTACACAGGCAGGTCTCAGTGTCCTTAGAGAGACATTGTCCCAGGATTTCTCAGCTCCACACAGGAAAGGACGTTGTATGTATTATAAAAAAGATATTACAGTTTTGGGAAGTATTCTCTCAATTATTTTTGTTACATTTATTCTATTTCTTTGCTTTGTTTGAGACTATTATACATCTGTTGAATCATCTCTGCTTATTTATATTCAGTATTTGTCATTTTCTTCTTAAATAATTTTGTCTCTTTTTAAATTTCTTTCGGATTTTTAATATTTTGTTTTTTTCACTTTCAATTCATAAGCCTGATTTTGTTGTGTTAATTTGCAGTTGTAGGCTTTTGTTTTAGATTTCAATTCTGAAGGGTTTTTTTTTGTCCTTGTAGTTTTTCCTGAGGGGTTATACCTCTTTTTAAAAAAATTGTGTGATACATGTTGCCTATTTGTTTTAAGTATCAAGCTTTTCACGTCTTTATCTCATTTAGGAACAGTTTGTCTTTGTTGTGACACGCCCTTTATTGTGTTTCTTTGTATGCATTTGTCGTCTGCAGGGACTTCCTTTGGTATATTATTTTATCCTCCTGTTTTTATGTAAAATTGATATTTTCCCTGAACTTTTAGTGAAAGCCGGGGTTCATGCTAGTTTTCTAATTTAACAATGCTGTTTGTATTGTTACAAAATATATGGGTTTGGTTTCTAATATTCATCACTTGGCCTTTCCCATATTGGTGTTGATATCACTTAAATTCTATTCTTTGTTTCCACCAATTCATTTTTACTGTATTTTGTTTCATGAGGTTACCTGGTCACCTGGCCCAAACTGTATATGATTACCAGAAATTTAAGTTTTTGTTATGTAGCTTCACTATCTGATTTTATGTGGGATTCAGGTAAATTAAACAATTATGTCACCATTACCACCAAATATTAATAATATATTAATAATTAATAATTGGATAATAAATTTTAATAACATCAGTAAAATTTGAAAACTCATGTAAAAGCATCAAAACCATCAAATTTCATAAAAAACTTGTAAGACTATTTCTACATGACTTTAAAAAAATCTGTTTTAAAGTAGAAGACATGATTATAATTAATAATAAAACATTAAAATCATTTTCATACAATCAGGAGCACTATAGCTACTTATGCTGTTGATATAATTAGGAGTAATATTGACAGATAAATTAATTTTATCATTCATGAACACAGGAGTACAAGTCTAAAATTACTAGATTATTCTGAGTGTATTTAATAGGGGGCAATGGTTTTAAAAATCTATTCCTTGGTTTTCTCTGATTTATTTCAGATCAAAAAAGCCAGAGAAGACAGAAACCATTAAAATGACAGCTAGTAGAAATAAGAAGACACCTGGATTTATCCTCTGATTCTAGAAATTCAATAAAAATATTAATTTGTGTTTTCTTTTGATGTTTGGTTTTTTGTCTTGGTTCCACAACTTCAGAAAACAGAGACATTTATTATGTGTTGTTATTTAGTTTTATTTCAGAAAATAAAAACAAGTAAAATGATCACGAGGCTCTAAAAGATATTTGCAGAGTTGTGCATTAAATACTAAAACAATTCCAAATGAATCCTTAAGGAAAGATTAAGATATGAACATATAGAACTTTCCATAATTCTAAGAAGTGACAAAAACAAAGGAACAAAAAAATAAACTCAGCCAATTGCATGTGAGACTAAATGCAGAGAAAGTATTTCCTAATTAATATGGGCAAAAATGTCTTGGCCAGTTTTTCCTGTTTCCCTCATGGATGGGAGGCCTGGCATGCTGCCTGCTGACGTGCCACTCCGAGTGTGTGCTCTGATCTGGTGTCAGGATGTTGGGCTCACAGGTCAGAGAGAGATGTGCTATTTATTGAGACGTACACAGAGTACTTATTCACACATTCGTTTGCACCCCTGTTTCCTCCTACCAAAATTCTCTATTAGAAATAGTTGAAAGGATGGAAGTGTTCAACCTTAGGAATAGGAAACATAAGGAAAGGATAAGAGGGCATGTGCTCTGTATTCAGTTACCTGGAAGGTTGTTATGGGGGAAAGGAACTTATTTGACGTTATCCCCAGTGATCGAATGCACCAAATAGACAAGAGCCTTTGAATTTCATCTCAAAGCTTGAGGAAGTTACTCTCTGCTTTAGAAATCTTTCATGTCCAGCTCCTGTTCTCACTCAGACTGATTTCCACAGTTCTGCTCTTCCTCCAGGAAAGACGTCTCCGCAAAAGTCATATTCTCCTTCAGAAGTTTCTCTTCTAGCTTCTTTTCTAGTTTCTCTTCTCTCTGGATGTCTTGCCTGAATTAAAATAAACACGTTTCATTTTAAAGGAAAATAAAATCACCCACAGAGTGGATGGTTTAACATCAATGCACCTGATACCATTATCAAGTGCAGGGAAGTCACCTTGGAATCAGAATTATCACAAGAATTGTCACACTGAGATATGGTTACATTGCACTTGGTCCTACTGTGAGTAAATGAAAAAAAAATGACCAAAGCTGCTTCTTATAAACAATGGAATACTTTGGCCCCAAGACTAAACCAGACTAAAAGTTGTGGTTGTTGCCCAATTATACGCAACCACAAATAGCCTGACTTCAAGGCTGTGCTTATAGTCAGACTGGACACTGCCCTTCAGGAGCTCAGAGGGAGGGTTGCAGCAGCAGATACTGTGTCAGTTGGCTCTATCCAGACATTTGATGACATACAATCCTTGTTCAGTCATCTGATCTGTTTGGCTCTAACTTGTTTTCAGAATTTAAAAAAAAAGTATATACATTTTAAGGCTCCTGGATATATCTCTTTCTGGGATCAAGTTTTCTGGTCCCCCCGCACCAGGCCTACTGAGGTCAGATTCCTTGGATTGGTGAGGCTTCCCCTCAGCTGTCGGGTCCGTGTCATTTGGGCTTTGGCCAAGGGCAATGGAGAGCTGGAACAGGGTCTCAGAAACTAGGGCACCTCAGCCCAGGGTGACATTATTACTCAGAAATAATAAAGGAGCCATGGAGAGATCATCAAATCTCTTCTTTTGTATTGATGGCGCATTTTGGACACATCTGTAGAAAGTCTGAGAACTAACCGTAGGCTGATAAGACATGTCTTTGTCTAGTCCTCATGAATATTAGATAGTGACTTTTACCGCGGGTTTGCTAGAACATGCAGGTCAATCTCTCACTGAGAACAACTACCATAGCTGAACAGAATAGTTCTTAAATACTGAAGTACCATATGGCTAATATTCCAGAGAAAGAAGAAAGTCATAGAGGTGCAGCCCTTAGAGATTCCAGTATAGGTAACTGAGAGGCTGGAATCTGAGCAGAGCATTGAAACAGATTACCAAGGAGTCTAGAGCACTTAAGCATGCAGAGCCTTAATAACACTCGCTTTGGGATGCCTTTGAGACTTGGAAAGACTACCCTCCAAAAATAACAATGAACCAGGAAAACAGAAGATTTGTCTCTTGTGCAGATTACAATCTTAATTCCTTGATTGCTAACTGTCAGAGACAAACATTTTCCCCATGAGCAAGATAGCTCTAATTTCAAGTGTCAATACTAAATTTAAAATAACTGGGTAAAGAGATAGTCAACATTACAACAAACAAGAGACACAACTGAAAATAGAAACAGCTACAGAAATGATCTAGATAGTGGACATGGATTTGTAAAAAATGTCACCATTCCTTCTCCTCTGTTCCTCTCCTTTTCTTCTCCCATCCTCCTTCATTTTCTGCTTTCTGCTCCTCTTTCTCCCCCTTCCTCCTTCTTCTCAGTTTAATTAGGGATATATGTATCATGTTTTAGTTGGAAACTCACCCTCTTAATCTATTTTGTCTGAGCCACCTTACCAACTGAAAGCATTTACTGGCAACTATGGTCATGTTCCTGATGAGATCGTTGCACCAAACCTATGTTCTAATTGGCCTTTATTATTTAAAAACTGTCAGTATTATCTTTGATCCGCTATAATTCAGAATCAGTCGTTTCTTCCAGTACTACAAGTCCCTATGTCTGCGGCCCTGTCATTCCACACAAATTCAGTCAATTCTTCACTGACCTATCTCTTTCTTGCAGAGCACTGTCAAAAGCTGATGTTGACTGACACACTTTATTACATTCCAAGTTGCCAAATTTGATGATGAGAATCAGAAGTTCATTAAGGACATTTTTGCGTTTCATATTATTTTTAGGAATCACTTTCACCAAATGTTTTCATTTGGGAAACACAAATCAGTATCTCTCCACTTTAGGTAACATATTCATTTCTTGCTCCCTACTGGCTGCTACCTAGTCCTTTAACCAATGTCATGTTTTGTTGTTACTCTGACTTGTATCAGTTGAACTAGGCAAGTTTATGTTGCTGTGAAAACAGCCCCCAAACCTCCAAGCTGTAAAATAAGAACTTTTTTTCTTTCTGCTACGAGTCTATTCCAAGGTGTGAGAGCTATTAGCTCATTTTCTTCATTTGGGTATCCAGGCTGATCCTTGAAACACATCTGACTAAGAAAGAGATCTCTGTAGGGATTCACACTGATAATTAAATGTGCTTGTCACTTTTGTTCATAGAACATTGTACAGGTTTAATCATTTGACCTCACTGGCTGCAAAAGAGTCAAGAAACCAAATTTACCATGGACTGAGAAAGTGGAGAAACAGGAGCATGTAGAGAACAGAATATCTAAGTCTCATATGAACCTTTATGTATGTAGGCACTGGGTGCAAGGCAGGAATGAGAAAATGGATATTGAACTAATGGTTCTGAGATGTTAGGCCAGTGGTGGCGAACCTATGGCACACAGGCTACAGTGGTCTGTTTGTATCACTGAAAGCTCTAAACCATTCACCATCACTGTGTTAGGCTACTATGTGGAAAAACATGAAAGTTAAATGCCTAGTATTTATCTTATCCAAAGATAAATTCTATAGAGTTTAATTGTATAAAAATGGAAAGAGTACTTTCACAGTTTTACAAGAAAAAGTTCTTTCCAAATTTGGCTAGTGGAGAAGTTCTTAAGCCAAAATTTTCCAAACCAAGGAAAAGGCTAATAAATATAATATAAGTACAAGAAGAAAAGTCAATAAGAGCAAAGTTACCATAGACTAAAAGGTCATGCCACATACTAGAAGTAGCTACTTGCAATCACTTAACTGAATACATTGCAGAAACAAGAATAAATGATGAGTTCCAACAAGTCAATAAAAAGCAAGATAAAGTGGAAACATAACAAGGCAAATAAATTTTCTGCAGCAAAATAAACATATATATTCTCTGAGATTTTTTCCATATAAAGGAAATATTATATAGCAGTTTCAATGAATGAAACAGTAACTTATATTAATATGAATACAAGATCGGATCCAATGCTTAGAAAAGAAGTGTTTTAAAATAGTATGTGCAAGTCAGACATGGTAGCACACACGTAATCCCAGCACTTGGGAGGCTGAGATAGGATTGTTTGGTGTTTAAGGGCAGCTTGGATTACATAATGACTTGAAGGCCAACCTGAACTACATAGTAAGTCTGTCTCAAAAAAACCAGAAAAAAACCCCAACTATGTGCAGTATGGTACCAATTGCATAAAGATATAAAACATTATAAATGTTTTTCTATATATGCATATATGTAGTGAACTATAAAAATATTTACATATTTTGCATCAACCTTTTTAGTAAAAAAATGGTTGCAGATGTATTATTTTAATTTTAAGGCCTCATTTCATAAATGATAGAAAGATTTCTAAGCAAAAATTAATATTTGTTAATATTGGTAGTAAGTACATTGGTGACTATTACATCATTTGCTATAGTTTTTGTGCACTTTAGCTACTTAAATATAAAAAAGTAACAAAGAGACAATATAGGCCCTTGTAGACATTTACATGTCATGACACACACATGTTGCATACGTATACATTTTATTTATGTGGAAGCACACTGTGTACACAACAATGATTCTATCAGTTAAGTTGTATTCCACTGTAAAAAACAGGTGTAGAACTCACATAATTAGAAGCTCATTGATAGAAAACTCGAGTTGATGCAGCAGTTCCAAATATTATCAAGTCCCGTATTACCTAAGCTCTTCTTATACTTTACTCTGCCAACTGTTGTTGGCAGTGGTTTTCAGATGTTTCCTGCATCTCTGAACATCACCTCCTCGTGTGTGTGTGTGTGTAAAATATACATATTCTATCTCTCTCTTCTGAGGACAAAAAACAATCTAAGGTGGCTTCTTCAGAAAATTCGTTATATTTCCCTGGTCAGGATGGGAACACATGTAAGACTAATTTACTTAGGCAAAGGGGAACAGAATTTCCTTGTCTGATTTTGACAAACTATTGTTCTGCTAGCAAGAA